CTCTTCCATCTCTGCACTGTCCTCTGTTCCTTCTCCTCCTGTGAATCCATTTTCTTGTTTTTCTACCACACCATGTCATTTTGTGGCATATTTAATGGAAACATGCTTCCAGACCTTCATACAATAAATCCATTAATTAGTGAAAAATGTGTCAAACAAATAGCACAGCCATTTTCTTTTTTCTGCTTCTTTTCATTTGATGAGAAGAGGTATGAAAAGAAGAGGCTTTGTTTCAATATGGGACCTTGAATCAGGAGCTTCTTTACATATTCTGTACTGTCACCGTTACCTTTGTAGGTTTTTGACAAAGACTTGAAGCACATCTTAGAATGCGTAACCATGATGTCTCTTGCTTTTATCTTCCTTAGCCAGCGAGCTAAGTTAAAAAAAAAAACGGCATGCTTCCCTTTACTTTCAGTTTAAACTGAAACTACCAGCCCTTATATTATTAAAACTATAAAATACTAGTGTAGTACTTCATAAACTTCACACTGCAATGTGCAGTGTACTCTGCTTGTATCATTCCACCTGCTAACGTATCTATCGTACCCTTTCAGACCTCAGTTTCAACACTTAGGACTCCCCCAGCACTAGTTACCTTAGCTACTGTTATATTGCCTGTTATAGAATATGCCTCATATTCCAGATGGAAATAAAATCCTGTATCAAGCATCACCTTGTCTTCATCTTACCATGCACTGGTCTGAGCGTTATTATGTTTTGTGAATGTACAGAACATTCATTAGAAACCATCTGACTGATGTTCACTCTTGATTAAACACTTAAATATACTTTAATATACCACACAAAATCCCAAACAACTGAAATGAAATATTATGTATACAGACAGAAACTCACAAACTCATATGACTCAGATCATAACTTGTAATTGACGGTGTGCGCGAATGTTGCCGGATACTGCGCGTATGTAACATGTTGAGTTGAGTCTCTCCATGTTTCGGTGTCTAATTTAAATGCAGTGCCCCTGCAGCAGGACTGGCTTTGTCCAAAGCATCTGGGAGAGGGAGGTCAAGGCCCGCCCGCTCTCGCCCCGGCCTTTATATAAGAGACTGTGAACAAAGCGCAGACCGACAGAGAATCAGGTACACTGTGCGCCAGACAGGTTTTTATGTTTGCTGAGGTAACTGAACTCCAGAACAAACCGTTGACTCTTTTAACGTGGGAATTAGTGTCAATGCCACGATCTGTATTTTGTATTATTGTATTAATGGACACTCCCTGAACTCCCTGAACACTCTCTGACGGTTTTTCATGATTGTATTTTTAAAACTATACATTTTCATAGTAACAGAATTAACCGAGTGCTTGGATGTTATTAAAAACAAACGAAATACATTATTTTTATTTTTGTTGCTCATCGGTGACACTGTGGAGTCAGTCGGCGTCACTACAGTTGCAGAAATGCAGAAATAGCAGAATCCAGAGTTATTTTCAAAGGGAAACGCCACTAATCTTACTCTATGACCCCTACAATGACAAAGATATTAAGATCCAGGCGATTTCATCTTTATTTTATAATCTGAAATCTCCAACAGTGTAGTTATTCCTCGTCATACATCCATGGCTTGAACACCTCCCTGCGGATTGCAGATACGAGTCTACACAGAGGCCGAGGCACTGAACCTTGATGAATATCTTTGAACGCACCCCGTGTGCTCGTCCTCGCGACACAGAATCTGTTACGCAGCTTGCGCTGACAGCATGACCCTGTTTCAACGTGGAGCCGAGCATCACGTCCACGTCCTCTATCCCAACTGTGCAGGCCACACTCGCATCACATGTCCCCAGAGCGTTCCCATGACCCACTGCCCTGGCTCCCTCCGCCTCAGCAACAGGGCTCTTTACAAACATGTGTGTATTTCATGGGCCAGCTCACATTGGGTCAGAGAGGATGATCTCTGCCCAAATAGGCATTGTGTTGGTGATCATTTTAATTACTACTCATCAATGGCACGGCGTAGTGTAGGCCAGCTGTGCGGGGCCGGGGGGGGGGGGGACTGTGTAGCCATGTGGCAATAAGTGTGAATATAGTGCAGTGGAAGTGTTTGACACACATACAGTACGTGCTGCATGGATAACACATGGATGCACATTAGCTACTGAACATTGTGAGTACATCCCCCTTCATGAAGCTGTGGCCAAACCAACTATGAAAGGAGGAAGCAAACTAAGGAAGTACGTCCCAATTAAAGAGAAGATGGCACAGAGGGGGGAGTGTGTCCTGGGCCCTTATCCAGGTTTTACACCAAACGACTGCAGAATACAACAAGGCCTCAATACCAGGACATTGGCGGTGGTGGTGAATGCATTAATTTGCAGACTTATTATTGGTTTTATTACTAATAAATTCACAGAAGAGTCTTTTTTCAGGGAATTGGCTAGAAATGTCCATCAGTTGCAGCACAAAAGCTTGAAAAGAATACACAGACAAAAAGCCTAAAGGTATGAAAGGCAGACAGGACAAAATAAACCCTGTAGTTGAGGAGTAATTTCCGGTCGAGCAGATGAGGACACCTTGTGCGGAGAATCAAACTGAATCTCCGGGATATTTTGTTGGATTAAAGTTAGTCAATTGCCGTAGACTCTCTGATTTTTTTAATGCTTATGTTTCTTGCTCTGCTGCACTGAGATAAGATGCTATCTTTCATTTTGCCCTTTATCTCTCCTCTTCTGTTTGTTGTCACTCTCTTTACCTACTTCATCCAACAGAGGTTTTAACGGATTTATTTTCGGAACAGGCTCGTCATGACCTTGGCACGTTGCAGCAGTTTCGCAGTGTGAAGCTAACATTTTCTTTTCCCTTATTGGCATTCCTCAAAACCATAATACTGTCATTGTTAGTTCTCCAGACAAAACGTCTATTGTTTGGAATGAAATGTGGGATTCAAGGGGCACTTGAGGTGAGAAGACTGCGAGTTTGAAGCTGAGCTACACGCGTCAAGTGTGACGTTTACTGTGTGACAGTTTGCTGCTGTATTGGAAATCAACTATTTTTGCTCCTTTATTGGCCAAAATAAGTATGGCGGGATAAAGACCACATCTTTGTTACCTTCCTCTCCTCCATCTTTAGATTCCCATGGTGACATATGGTGCACGTGTCAGTGCACCAGTGTGATTAATGCACTTTACAAGTGAACTATCTTGTTGTCTCTGGAGGTAACTACAACAGATCGCTCTACATGAAAACTTGCAATGAAATTACACACGAGGGAAAGTGCTAGGGACTGTTTGTTGTGGATTACAAGCCGGATCAGCTGGCTAGTAAGCAAAAGAAAGCCACATCCAGAGATCATTAATTACAGGGTGACAGCCGATGCGGGACAGTATTCACTTTCATATATGATTGAATCTGGCATGTCAATGAATAAAGGACAGACTGGGGCACCGCACATATTTTTTTCCACTTTATTTTATATGATCTATTTTTTATAAGTTGGAGCAAATTTAGTTAATTTCATATTTGACTGTTATTAAAGATTGTATTGACATGTTGTTGCTTATTGAGACCTTTGCCAAAACCGATAAATCATTACAAACGCTTATCAAAATGTCTCAACATGCAATAAATCACACATCAGACCCAGCTGATCGCTGGCAAATCATCACGATTCCCTTCAAGGCAGTATCCGAGGCATTGTGCAGGACGCACACACACACACACACACACAACCTCAATGCTCTTCCCACTCGTGTGTGCATTGGCTGTCAGAGCTGTCTTTGTATCCTATCACCATAACAACTGCCTCACAGAGCATCGGAAAAAGAAAAAAAACGGAAACAGCCAAAGTGAATTTGTCTCACACAGTTTGACTTGGAGATGGTGAGAGTAGCAGTCGACCGATCCACGCAGCGCGTGCATGTGGTTTGCATGAGAAAGAGGGTAGCTTTTAGAGGCTGCAGACGACGTGGCGTGCAGGGAAGTACTGAGTGCGATGCTTGAATCCGGAAGGTGCAGGGTGTGACTTTTATAGAACAAGGGATATGCAGTATGTGATGCCACATATGGTGAGTGCCTATGGCTTCTGAGTGCTTTTCGCCTTCTTGCAATGTGAGTGTACCTGTTTGCACGTGTTAAAGTTTGTTACCTTGAATGCAGTGTGCCAAGTAACTCAGCTGTGTAAAATGTTATATATGTGTGTTTGTGTCGGAACGGTTTTGCACATGTGGATGTTACATAATGACTGAGAATAAGAACCAGAGAATTAAACAGTAATGAAAGTCTTCTGTTCAAGATAATTTTGTATAATCCAGATCTTGTCTCAATTACATCCTCAAGATTCATATTAGATTCATATCTATGTCCTCTTGGATAGTTTATATGTTAGGATTGTACCACAGGCTAATTTATAAAAATTACTATTTTACTCCAAGCCGTTTTTAAGTATTGCACATGATTGCAGTCATTAGACACTTTGACACTGTGCGCTATGAAAAATTGTGTCTCAGATATAAATTGTTGTTGTTTTGATTCGTCAGGGTATAGAAACATATTCTAAAATGCTGATACCTCTTTCATAGCTTAATTTCCGCATCTATGCTCTCCAGGGTTACACCCATCAGCAGAGGTGATGAATATGTTTAATCAGAGGAGGAGGAATGTAGGTTTGTGCACATGTCTTGTCAGTGTTAGTGTTAGACTCAGTGATAAGCGTTACTCTGAGGCATTGTACAATATGAATACATTTTCTTGGCTCTGATATCCAAAAGAAAAGGTCTTCATTTCAGCCATTCACAGCCATTTTCTGGTCTTTTTCGACATCCTATCGCTGCTTTTATATCTACTGCACATGGCCCATTTGCTTGGCATGACAGAATAAAACCTTCAAACACAGAAAGAGAGAGCGGTGACTTTAGCTTTCATCTCTGAACTGCATTATTAAACATTCCCATCCACATGAGTCTGACATCAACCAATCACAGCTGTCTTTATCTTCACTTCCCCCTTACCTCTCTCCCACTACCTTGTCTCCCTCCATTAGGCAAACTTGAAGAAGTTTATGGAGTACATGCAGCAAAGGAACATTGAAAAGGTCTCAAGGTTCCTGGAAAAGGGCCTGGACCCCAACTTCCATGATCCAGATACAGGAGGTGAGGAACTATCTTAGTTAGCAGTGATCCAAATGCATATATATTGAAGATGCAAACCCACAGTTTTGACAACTCCAACAAGCTTTGTCCTCAAATATTGACAGCTTCAATTGTTTGATGTTAATATACTAAGAAAAATGCACAATATTACCTGAAATAACATTTTGGTTATTGTTTGCTGTCTCGTCTTCTGATTTTACAGAATGTCCTCTCACGCTCGCAGCACAGCTGGAGGGATGTGCAGATCTCATCAAGGTGCTGAAGAGTGGAGGGGCGCATCTGGACTTCAGAACAAAAGATGGCATAACAGCCCTGCACAAGGCCGTGCGCAGCAAGAACCATACAGCACTTATAGTGAGTGCAGTACACACACAAAGGTCGCAGACAGCTGACTAATCTCTTTTATTTCTGCACTACACCAATTGCTTTCTTGCAAAAATGTTCCCTTGGAGAAGAGAACTTCCAGGTAGGCAATCTCAGGCAAAGAATTCTCGACCAATTGAGTACAGAGGGGGGGCCCGAGCGATTACTAAAAATGTGAGGATTCACATGATCTCTTCAAATTGCCCGGGTATTCATTAAATGGCCTCGCATGTGTCTGCTTTGAGGATGCTTGTAACCTCAATGAAAGGATTTACATGAGTCATGGCATTTATTTTCCCGTTGAGCTGGAACCGTTGAGAATGAAATTGGTTATTTCTCATTGTCGCAATACAAATATTTAATGTCACAGTGCCATGTAGGATACATCATCTATTTCCACTGTGGGTGGCGTGGTGGTGTAGTGGTTAGTACTGTCGCCTCACAGCGAGAAGCTCCAGGGTTCAACACACCACCCAGCGGCCTCTCTGAGTGGTGCTCGCATGTTCTCCCCGTGTCTGTCTCCAGGAGCTCCAGTGTCCTCCCACAGTCCAACGACATGCCCCTGGTCACTTAATTGGTGACTCTTAATGGCAGGTTTAGCTGTGTGAGAGTCAATGGCTGTCTGTCTCTCTGTCGGCCCTGACATCGACTGCCCTCTTAGCAGTGTAGATGGATGACATACTGTACAATGTTTTCCTACGGTCCCACGGAGAAAAGTACTTTGCTGAGATTTTTTCTTGCGATAGCATTTACGTGGTTTTAATAACGTAAATGTATAAACAACATAGACTTTGTTACTGGTCTGCTCTCAAACCTCACATTGTGACTGTATGGAGTGCTTAAAGCATTATTGCCCCTAACCCCCCTCTTATCCCACTAGACGCTGTTGGACTTGGGTGCATCGCCTGACTATAAAGACAGTAGGGGGTTGACTCCTCTGTACCACAGCTCGATGGTAGGAGGAGACCCCTACTGCTGTGAGCTGCTGCTGCATGATCATGCACAAGTTGGCTGTGTGGATGAGAATGGCTGGCAGGAGATACATCAGGTAACACACACACACGCACACACACACACACACACACACACACACACAGACAAAGCTGTGATGTGTTGTTTGCAGAATACAAATGTAGGTGCAGGGTAAAAGGTCTTGTCTGGATTTCAGAGTTCTTTTGAGTTGATTTTTGTGTCTTCCCTTTTTAATCAATTGAGTTTACATTTGCATAATTGCAAAATTTAAAAACCTTATTGTTTTTCTATGAATTTGTTGAGTGCCAAAACAGATTTCCAATCTACAAAACCGTTATTGATTCCTGGTACGGCTCACTGGGCAACCATCAACACTTATACATGTATTATTATTACCTATTACCTATTGAATGCTATGCAAATACTGAAGACTACTAAAATGTCATGAGCTATTTAGCTATATAATTTTTAAACATTTTTAAGTCTTCTGTGGTAAAACATTAAAAATCACAAGACTGTGTTTTTAAATATAGATACAAAAATGATGACTTTAAAATGACTAAGTTCAGGTGAGCAAACCCATGTGCACCAATATTATTACAAAAAGAGGCTAAATATCAGTCAACATTTTTCATTTTTCTGCACCAACCATCGCTTACTATCGCTACATACTATTCCGCAACCCCACTTCATCTGTGATTCTTTCTTCCAGAGTTACTTGCCTCTGGTGTAGTTCAAGCTCAAGGACTTCATTTCATAGTTAGAGTGAAGTATGAGTTGCATTTGTACTAGAATAAGCTGAACTGAACCTCATAACTCAGGATAGAACTGCAGTAACTGTTGTGTTGTGGATTGTTGGAGATTTGTGCCACATGAAATAACCTTAAGGGATTTCCTTAACCAATTTTCTCATACTTTTCCTGAGGTACAAAGAACATTCCCAGGGAGCCCCTATGTGTCTTGTTTAATTTTTATTATCCTTCATCAATGGTCTGCACTTCTTCCCGGGGACTCATGTAGCTTCAAACGTTTGTTCTTTGTGTTGATCACAATGTGCCGCTTCTGTAACGACGGATCGTGTACTATCAATACTGTATCCACAGAGTGGGACTCTAATTCCACTGCTGACGCTGCTAAATTTGCTGTGTATTTATCTTCCGATATCCGACGGCAGGATCTGAAACGCTGCTGCAGAAAGGAAATATTCTTGTCTCAAATCAAAGCTTACCCACACAGAGTAGCCTTATTTGACGATTGTAAGGGGCCTTACAGGGTGCTTTTGCTTTAGTTACCCTAATGTGCACATACTCATCAGTCTGACACTTTTCCCAAAGTTTGTCCACTGAAGATTGACTTGGACGAGATATTTTCAGAAAAGAAAATACAAAAATGTTGTTGCGTAATGACTCTTTACGTCAAATAAAGAGTTTGTTAAAATGTTAAAATATTTTTAATGGAAGGATATGCAGATATCTCACGATGTGATCAGATGTGTTTTGTGTTTATAAAGGCAAGATACGGTAAAATAAATCTAAGAACCCCTCAGCTCTACACATTTTCTCCCTATTTGATTTATTTCACCTCCTTGCTCTCGTCCCCCGCTTTTCCTGATGTCCTTTCACGCATTAGTATTCTAGGGGTGTATATCGTGCACAATAGGATACACTACTGAAACTCTGATAACCAGCAACAATCCCAGCATCATTTGTGTGCTGTCTCACTGCTGTCACACGCTCTTAGCAAGACAGCACCCAGGAGGGAGGGAACCATCGCTCGGAAGAGCTGGTGCGCTTCTTTCAATGACACGGGACAAAACCCCGGAGTAGAAGGGAAAGATGGGAGAGGAGATAGATAAAGAGTAGATGAAAAGTGTATCGCTCCGAGTTATCTGAAGCAAAGAAGCTCTACTCTTATATAATATCATTTTAACTCAGATATTTGGCCTCAGGTGATGCAACGTTTTTTTTCTTGCTTTTAGAGAGAGGTAAGGAGAAGTATCTCAAGGGAAAACAAAATAATATATTCAATAGTAAAATATTTTTGTTTTAGTTGTTACAATTTCTGTGTACCTCATTTGTAAAAGATAACCTCTTGAAACCCAATGAGCTCTACACAACCATGTTGGTTGTTACCTTATACCTTTTTTAAAGTAAATTAGGGTTTGTTTTCTTAATAAAGTAAATATGTGATTATGTCCTTTCAGGCGTGCCGCTACGGCCACGTGCAACACCTGGAACACCTGCTGTTCTACGGAGCTGACATGAGCGCCCAGAATGCATCTGGAAACACTGCACTGCATGTGTGTGCTCTCTACAACCAGGTACCAGTTGTTGAAATGAATATGCTCGGGCGCTTGAGAAGTGGAGTTTTCTGTGGAATTACATTTAAATGGGTTAGATGTGCAATACACGATTCACGTCCAAAGCCAAAGTGGCCAAGTGAGCGAGAATGTCACACTGTTTGACGCGTTTACGTTAGTGGCCGTGGCTAAAATCCCATGTGAAAATCTTTTGAATTTCTTAAATACAGTAAATAACCATGACAACAATCTTCCTCTCTATGACGCGTATGCGCCTCCCCAGCAGGTCACATGTCTCCTGTCCTGGGCTTTCCTTCACAGCTCTCTCCATGTCAACCTGCCCTCCGTGATTTCAGTCTGGGAGGCATCGTTGCCATTAGTGCTGATGGTGTCTAACATCTGTGCCAGCTGTTGACGGAATGGTTGTATTGTCGTCGATGTCTCAGATCGGTGGAGTAGTCGTAGTGTAGTTGAGGCTAAACTTAATCGTAATCGTAATCATTCTGTGTTTGCATCAATAGAACTTGTTCGACAACTGGCTCAAAAATGTTGGGCCGCTGTTAACATTTGTGAATTAGAGGTAAAAAACAGCTGTATGTTGTTGTAGTTTGTCATTTTTTGATGGTCCGTTTGATTGACGGCTCAAAATGATCAATGAATAACATTGATTCTTTGTGTCACAATGACTACATCAAGCTTTTATTTATTAGTACAAGCTAAGAACCGTGGTTCTATATTTTAAGGAATTGCTTAAACTGTTTTATATTTTTAGGTTTTAAGTTTTAATCCAACGTCCTCATGGAAATACACCTTAAATCCATAGAGGAATAAATAGATAAAAAGGAAACTATTGTGCTCATTAATCACCAATTGGTGCTCTGGAGAGTATTCACGCCAGCAGAAACATGTTATTCGGCACTGACGCATAATAAACCTCAGTAATAAATAACACCAACAATAAAGTGAATGACTCAACAGACAGAACGTCTGTATCTGTATATATATATAGAAGGTTTTCCTTCATTGGTAAAAGACAGTAGTGCTCAGTTCATGAACATTAAATGAGCACTTTGCTAGGACTTCATTAACAAATGAAATATGTTTTAGTTGTGTGTGTGTGTGTGAGTATTTACATGTTGTAATTTGAACTGTGTGTTCCAGTCATGAGGAACGGCCTGCTTCAACTGGACTGGAACACCACAGTCTCACGAGAGCCAGAGAGGTTTTCAGCTATAGGTTTTGAAAGCACAGCATCAAAACTTAACACAATCTGTTTGTAACACATTCATTTGACTGAAGTCATTATATGTTCACACTCCTCAGTCAAGGGGGGGACAGGAGTGGTTGTGTGTGAGTGTGTGTGTATGTGCATGTGAGTGGATATAATGAAAGAGAAGATGGATGAAACTGGGAACTGGTGATGCCCCCTGATGCAAAGTTCTAACTGGGAAACTCCCCGGAGTTTGGTCCAATGGTTCTGCTATCGGTACTTTAGAAGTTTCTAGTGAGTTTTCTGTGTAAAAAAACTATGGGACGAGGGGCAGAGTCGTGCGGAGAAGCACGCCGGCGGATGGCCTGCAGTAATGTTCTAAAATTCAAAAAAGTATAAGCAACAAAAGGGAGTTTTTTTCTTGCAGTTCAAGCTGTTGATTATTTTTTAATTTTTCTCACAAAATAATCAAAAAGAACCAGTGAGAGTTTTGACAGGGAACCAAACCGATAAGCTGCGTTGATATTAGCATTAGCATTGATAAGATCCTAACGATACCTCTCCCTCTCCGGAGCCTGGTAATGCAGTGGCGAAGATCAATATGGAGCGAGAAATGAGAGGTTCAGATAAAGGTGAGGGAAAGTGGATGAATGGCAAGATAACATAATCAGCAGCAACAGCGTAAACCTGATCAATGCTCCCATTGAGGGGGTCCGGCTGGCCATTACCATTCACTCACTGGGCTTTCAGCCCGGCACTCGTGATGCAGCAGTGAATGAAGCCGCGCTAGGGGTCTTTACCCGGCAGACTGATCCATGCAAGCTGGGTCGGGTAAACTATTGAGAAAGGACACAGTAGGTAGTATAATGGCAACTGGTGACCACCGGGACGAGTGGAATTAGAGAGAGGGTGTGCGAGACACACACAGACCAGTTCAAACCAGAGGTCAATGCAATCTCTGAGCCACTTCTTAATAAGCTGCGCAGAGGAAAAGAAACACTATTCCGTGCTACAGCACTTTTGTTATGCTGTTGTTGCACACGATAATGAGGAATATTTCAGACCTAAATTGTGCATCTTATGTGCTTTTGATGTCACAATCCAATTTAAAAACAAACTCTACTCCCAGTGGATGCCAAATCCGCTTCAAATCTAATGAGAGAAGAATCCTCAACTGTATACACATGGCTGTGAGAGGTACCATCTGTCTCACTCGTTACACATGACTGACCCACGTCATTACTGTAAAGTACTCGACTTAGCTCACTGTGTATTCCTCTCCCAAAAATGTAATCACATCTAGCAAACCACGGTGAGGACCGCTGGAAAGGTTTTATTAATGAATTCCTATAGGAAGCTTTAGAGAAAAGAGCAAGACAGATGGCCCCGCGCTGTAATTGGCCTTTGCACGTATGGGTGTGTGTGTGTGTGTGTGTGTGTGTGTGCGTGTGTGTGTCTTGTCTTTGTGTGTGGCCTATGCATTTTTCCAAGGCATGTGTGTAAAAAAGGGTTAAATGTCTATAAATAACAAAAACTCAGGAATTCAACTACTGAGCGGCATTCATGTGATTATTTGAGAAGGTGACATGTTGTTTACATCAATGTTAGTAGCAGTAGAGTATGTGGTTACGTGCACGTTGTGTGCCGGGGGGGCCTTGCGTGTAACCTTTACACCGGGGATTGGTGCGGAAACATTGTTAATATCGTCGTCAACGAGGTTGATTTTGGTTTGTTGTGTTGGTTAGTAGAAACACAAATACAACTTTGAACCTATTTCCATGAAACGGTGTTGAATGGCTACATTTTGCCGTTGGCAGAGTTCTTCTCCCTGACATGCTACTGACCGACGGTTGCTGGCCGTCATAATAACACAACACACTTTCCAGCTTTAATTTTTTTTCAGGTAATCAAATAATGAAAGGCACAACAAGCGGTGGACCGTTTTGACACGGAGGTCAAAGAAATGCCGCTCTCAACACAGGCGGAGAGGAATGAATCTGAGCCGCACAACCAAACTGAAATCTCCCTATTTGGCAAACGGCTTTAGAGACGAAAGACAGATATCCAGCGTCCAATGACATGTGTCCAATGTGTGATGTATCTGTATATATCTGCTATACATGAAACAGGCAGTTGAGTCTGAACTGCTCGTTCTGCGGCAGGTTCTCTAATCCCATTGAAATGCATGCAATCATTTTTTGTTTTGTCTGTCTTTGTAAATCTTTCATATAAGAATGAAAGATGAATGAATTGAACGAATGTCCATACATATTTGTTGAATGGTATTCATTATATTTCTTCTTAAAACCATCGATGTACATCTACACATGTCATTGTGGGTTAATTGACTCGGGGGGGGGCGACATTGACAGTACTCATTCTGTTATTTCTCAGCACCATCTAGTTATATGGCATTTACAACTAATCCTTCTTCCTATAAAGATGAAGATATAAGAGTAATCATGCATTAATTGTTAAACCTGTTAAACCCCCCATATTCACCACCTATACGTACATGAACTTTGCAGGCGTTTACACGCTGCTCAATTCAGGCACACCAGAAGAGGACGCCACAGTGAATCAGCGTTAACCTCAAACGGTAGTATACATGACCTGGTATATTAAGACAGATCATCAGATACAGCCAGCTTGATGAGATAAATCACACGGAACCAAACGTTGAATTAATGTTGTGAGTTGACAGGAGTCTTTGCGCTGATTGTAGAGCCAGGCTAATCCTGCTAATCCTTCATCAGTGTTAAATTACGCATCGGCCCTCTTCAAGTCAGCACATGGACACATTAGCGTGTCTGCCCATTTACAAATAGGGATTTTGTTATGCCTGAAGAGCCAGGGCTCGTTTACAAACACAGCAATATATTGTAATAAGTCTGACACATAAGAGAGTCAAATGTGTGCTTGTGACCTATTGATTGTTGTGCATGTTGGAATGTGTTTCTTCTATCCGCATGTATCTTTTAGTCATAATTTAGCCATTGCTTTCCCACCTTTTGTCATTAGCGACACACATTATCGTTGGAGCCAATTCATTAGTGAGATTATTCTGTCATTATTGTATTTATTTTGGTTCACACATGTTTTTTAACAAAGTATGAGAGAAAAGCAAGTGGTTGTCAGTCCGCTGGTTCCACATACACAGACATATTCGTGCATGTTTGACTGTCCGGTTTAAAGTAATTTTGAATTATAATTTTGCATCCAAAATGTCCCGCTCAATTTGTCCAAACGACATACAATGACTTTTTAAAGTCGTAGTCAAACATGTGCTTCTCTTTGGGCTCATCCAGGACAGCTGTGCACGAGTCATCCTGTTCCGGGGGGCCAATAAGGAGATAAAGAACTACAACAGCCAGACCGCCTTTCAGGTATGTGTGGTGTCCAAGAACCGCAACGCGCTCCTCTGCTTGCAACGTCGTATAGCTTACCTCCTGCTGCTACATTGAATCGTTGATTGCTGTTAAAAACTTAGGCAGCGTAACAGCACCCACCCACTGCTGGCTCCCCATCACAGTATGTGTGTGTGGTTGATGAAGTCCATGTGAAAATAACAGTGAAACTTTCTGTGCAGATCAAAGTTAATTATTTTGTCTAGAAGGCAGGCTGTTCCACGCGCGGTGCCCAAAACGTTGTCACACATACAGATTTTAACCATCTACCACAGCGGCAGACTAAACGTGCTGAGCGTTTATTAGCAGAGGGAACAAAAGAAAAAAGATTCTTTATTTATTTTTGTGATATGTTGAGATGTTTATTGTTTCGTTGAATTAAACTACTTTCCACTTTGCAACACGGGCCGTTTCAAGTTTCCTTTCTCCTTGCTCCTCTTCATCCCAACCTCCAGGTGGCCATTATAGCCGGAAACTTTGATCTGGCTGAAATCATAAAGGTCCACAAAACATCGGATGTTGGTAAGTCGACGGAAGTATATCACCAAACGACCTCAGTCTTTTAATGGTTTGAACATCAACGTGGTCAGACTGAAGAATGGAGTGTAGAAAGGGGAGAAGCCAGACAAGAGTAATTTATGGTTATATGCAAAGGTGAAAAGGGAATTGGAATAGAAATAAAGGGGATTTGAAGAAGGTTTCAGGGAATTATCGGATCCCTGTTGAGTTGAGTGTTTCTTTCTGTGACGTTCATACAGGAAAACTCTGCCATCTAGTGTGGACAGGCTACAATACCCCTATTTTAGGGTTATTCCAATATTGTATTCCCTGTAACATATGTGATGTTTGCAATGGATGCTTCTTTTAATGTGAACAATACTTTTCCCCTGAAAGTACACTTTACCGAGCGCGCATGTGTGAACTTAAACAAGACTTTAATTAATTGTTGAAACAATTGTTAATTGTTTGTTTCATGAAGCTAATACTTAATCCCCAGCAACTTGATCTTCGCGTAACAGTTTACTCTTTACACGCGATAATCTGAGTCTGTAAAGAGTTGTTCTCTGTCTCTCTCTCTCTCCCCTCAGTGCCTTTCAGAGAGACCCCCTCCTACACCAGCCACCGACGCGTGGCGCCCGGCACCCTGCCCTCGCCGCGCTCCTTGCTGCGCTCTGCGAGTGACAACAACCTGAACGGGGACCACGATCACAACCGCGGTCAGGCCCCTAGAGAAACCCGTGGCCGTCAGGGTCACTCCCCGGTTCCATCCCTGCGCAGCCTGCCGGCTTTCGGGCAGCAGCACAGCAGCCTCGGAGAGGTTAGATGGAGCTAGTGAGGCCCTGCAGCTGTGTTTGAGTTTTCTATACATGACTAGACAGAAATAGTGAAAACGTTCTTTAGATGTGCTGTATATGACGCCCTTCTTCTGCTCTGCCTCAGAGCCGTCATGGAGAGATCCCTGACAGCAGTCTCCAGAGTACGGGCAGCTCCAGGTCCTCCCACTCCCGCTCGCCCTCGCTACATCACATGCACGAAGAGGACCGGCCAGTTCCCAGAAGGTCCCACAGCCACGGCTACCCTCACGGACACGGCCATCGCGGAAGACTCAGGTCCGTAAGATTTGGATTGACCACGAATTTGTGAGATGGGATAAAGTAAGATGATCCTTTATTACAAGTGTGTTACACCAGGAAAATAGTGGAACAAAAATGGCATCAGTAAAGAGAAAACCCAGCATAATAAATAAACCAAGATACAGTAAAGATATTATCAATAAGACAAACCGTAAAACTAACAAAAACTCAAATAAGATACAACCAGACTTAATGGTTGCGTTCACATTATTGCACATATGAAATACGTATACATACTTTGATATTCAAACCACATTTCAGAAACCAAATAGTGCCACGTGATGTGTCTGATTCTCGTTCGCCACCAGCCAGCTATCTGTGTCTTATTCCATCTGCTACCGTCTGCTACTAGTGATAAACAGGATTTATCATGGGTGCAAAATGGTATTTATTTATTCATACATCAATCCCAGGCACCAATGAAAGTTGAATCCTGTCGAAACAGCAGTTGCAACCCACCTTGAAAAGTAGTATAAAGTGGCAAATAAATCTGAAAAAAGTTCAGCTTTCTGTTTTCTGATTGACTGATCAGAATAAGGTTATATTTGCAGTTGAGTGTCCCGTATTCCTATAGAGGTATGAGGACAATGATTAGTGTCATGGTGTGTGTCTGGCGGCCCTGTTTATATAACAAACCAGAATGAAGTACTGCATTTGTCGTGCTGAGAGGACACACGGAGGGCAGACATCACACTTCAAATCTCTGTCTCTGCTTGTCTCTGTTTGTATGAGAGCATGTATGTACAGCCGCTTACATACCAATGTGGATGCGTTTTTTTCACAGTTCAGAGCAGATGGAAAGTGGTTGGTAATAATCACATTGGGGAGCAATTGAAGGCCGCCAAGCTGTGATTGTGTTTGTCAGTTCATGTGAGAGAGAGAGGATGAGTGACAGCGGACACATTCTGAAATTAAAGCAATGAGTAATTTCATTGGACGAGTCACTCGGTTCAAAACAGCTTGGTACACAAATCTACAGATGTGGGTGTGCTGCTCCTCCCTCCCACCCTGAGCCATAAGTCAAACCGAACAGTGAACCGGGGCTCTGATCACATCTTGGAGCGATGGAGTGGTTTACTGACCACTCCATCGCTTGTAAAGCTTTTTATTATGATCTTATGTCAGAGCAAGATCACCTACTGTATGAACACCACACACACACACACACACACACACACACACACACACACACACGTGTGCTTTTTAAAGTGAAGCAGTTTGATGTCTGACACAAGAATTGCATGACCGACACAGCTCCAGCCATACGCCCTCTCCTTTTAATTCTCTGCTGTCACTTTACTCAATCCATCTCAGACTCCCTCTCAGTGGCGGCTGGTGGAAAACATTCTAGGTAGGGCAATCAAATCAATTTCAACAAACATCCCAGGTTGATTTAATGCAAAACAATTACTGTATAAAAAACACATCACTACTTTGCAGTTAAATATTTATTCCAAAAAAAGCAGTAAATACTACAATCTTATTTGTCTCACCTAGGTACCAAGGTAATGTAGTGATATATAAATGAAATAGTATGATATAATATATACTGCATTTATGTCTGTGGTCTTTACTTCCATCAGAATGGCGTCCGCCTGTTGAGACTTGACGAGATGACACAAGCTTGTGGCAAAACCAAAATTGCTGAAGGCTGAATATATTTAAGGAATCTGATTGGCTGAATTGTATGTTTTTTTAAAATGCAAATACTACATTTTTAATAATTACATTTTTTTTTGGGCTTAAGGAGCGATGCGCCAGGTGGGGCAATGCCCCATTGCTCTCTATTGGCCAGCCGCCACTTCTCCCGCTCTCCTTTTTCTTTCTCTATCCCTCCTTCCCCCTCTCATTCCCTCATTCATACACAAACACACACACACGTGTATACACAGTGCCATTAGTCTACTGTATGTTTTGCAGGTAGAGAGCAGTCGACATCCTTCAGCGTGAAATCGTGTAACATGCACACATCACCCCATAGAAACAAAAACAAAAAAAGTGTTTGTGTACGTTTCATCACCTCTCTCCTCTCCATATCCTCTCTTTTTATCAGATGTTGTGTCCCGTTTAACGACCCAAGTGCATCTTACTCTGATTTATCTGGATCTATGTTGGTATTAACGTTTGGTAGAAACATATATTTCTCTCGTCTTCATTTTGTACACAGTTGATTCGACAGACTGAGCATTGGTTAGAATGTCTTCTGGTTCCGACTCTAAATTGCCTTCTGTTAGCAGGCGGCGCTGAGACCCTTTTGCATTTAGCTGCCTTACAACAAATATTCAAGTGAGATGAATGTATAAACGAGCAGCTGGTCTCCATGGCCGGAACCTGCACCCAAGTGGGACTGACGGTGTCCTTGACTATTTTTGCTCTAAAATGTCTCCCTCCCTACTCTGTTTCTCTCTCTGACCTTCTGTTTATGCCGATGGTTTCACTAGAGGCTGTGTGGGTACCAGGGGAGTGTGAAATTAGTTTGGCCGGTCAACAGCCCGCCCAACGGCAGACTCCAGCAAGTTCCTGTGGAACTCACCATCACTTCCTTTATGTGGTGTGTGTGCCGTGTTGCCAAGGTTCAATTGCCTGGTCCGTGCTCTAGCAGGGATTTGCAATGGAAACAATAGTGAAAAAACACAGATCAGATCAGCTTTGGTAAGACTAAATCACATTAGATGTGATAAAAGATGGTTATGATGATCAATCCAGCTACTGCAGTTAAACATATAATAGGACGTGACACTGGGTGATAATATTTTATTCAGATTAAAGCGAGGCGCTTGTGTCACAAGAGGTTAATTGACTGCTCGCGTGAAGTGCTGTCAATACAAAGAGATAATTCCATCATTAATAGGATTCTTTCTTGACAGTACCAGTGTGTGAAATTCTGATATTGCGTTGTGCTCCGTAGGACCTATCGGTCTCGGTTTGGAAGAAAAGCAGTGAAGCTTCTGGATAGAACAATATTGTGCTACAATAGAGGCAAACAGCAATTATCTTTTTCATTTATTGCTTTTGATGGCGTTTTTCCTTAAACAGCAGAGGATGTGTGAACACAGAACTCGCAACCTCAACCACCTTCCATTGTATTTTTTTGCCGTTTCTTAAATCTGAGATAAATTATAACATGACATCTGACTGTTTTGGCCAAGAGTTGAGTTTATTAAAGCTTTCCTAGCAGTGCTATTAAGCAAAAAACAGTCATTACCTGTTTATGTGTTCCATCCTGCCCTGTCATGTAATGAATAATGACAGTAAGCCCAGGATGGGGGCACCACGTTCCCGTCACACTTTGAATTATTTGTTTGTAGCTGTTCACCTCAGCTGTGTGGCTGTTGGTGAATTTATTATACGTGGCGTGTTAACAAGGGCAAACCTGGGCTGACCCACTGAGAGAAGAAAAGAGGAACGGAAGAGGCGGCGATGGATAGTTGTGCTTCTTCTTCTTCACCTATTGAGAAGCCACATGAAAGGTCGCCGTATTAGTGGTCTTTATGGAGTATGGATTACAAATAGTAATCAATAGTCTCCCCCAATTTCGGTGACTGTCAGTGGTTGTGGTTCCGTCTGGCCAGCGACATCCTCTAGCTCTTCCTGCTGGTATTGGAGGCGTTCCCCGTGGCAGATTGGATGTGTAATCCATGGAGCGTGGCATGTGTCTACCTGGAGGTCTCCTTTAACCTTAACTGTGCCGGGGGGGGGCTCTACTCAGCGCTCCCTCCGCATATCTAAGTATTTCACCTTTTCCCTGGAGGTGAAACCCGGAGACCATGTGCTGGAAACTCATTTTGCCTTTTTGTATCTATGAACTTCTTCTTTCTGATATCTTCCAGAGCTCATGGCCGTATGGTGGATATTTCGGAGATAAACTGACAGTCTTGCCTTCGGGCTCGGCTCTCTCTTCACCACGAAAGTCCAGTAGAACACATACATCCCTGCAGGCGGTGCATAGATACGCCTGTCATACCCGGGTTGTTTCTTGTCCTCGCTGGTGCACCAGACAACACTGTGGTCACCACAAGATAATTACTTCAGTTTGATTGGGAGTGAAATGTTGTATGTGTAGGAATCTCCTTAAGCTGTACTCCAGCGCTGGATGGCTTAGAGAAAGGCCCTATTTCACCATATTCCCTCACACTTTGGGAAAAGTCTTTTTTAAGTAAAAAAAAGTGTATTCAAATTGACTGTTGCTGAGGACAAGCCATGAGACTATAGTTTGGTCTTATTAAAAAGCTTAGTAAGGAACACTTAGACCATCCTCACGGATACATTTTCTAATGTGAGAATCCAAACATCTAATGAATGATCCTATAAATCCGAACAAATGCACATACAAAAAAGTTTAAAGCAAATATTTTTGTGAAGTCATCACAATTTGTGGGGCCTCACGACAAATAAACAAGCCGACTTTGCGCAATAAAATACAGGGACAGAATATACTCATTCAAGGACAGAGAGATGATCATTAGGATGCAAAATGTGATGAGGATTATGACTTTGTTTATAATCTGCTCTTCTCACATTAGAGAGCTGAGCCATTTGATCCAAGATAAAGCAAAAAAAGCCTTTTACCTGAGAAGAAAGAGCAGCCGTGTCAATTCCACAATTAAGCTGCTTATTCTGATAGCATCTTTGTGAATGACACTTTTCGACATTTGGAGTTGCATCTTCCGAGCGCTGTAGCAGTTTATAGATTTTGACTAAAAACGGAGACAGCGAAACTGGTTAATCCGTCTTTAATGTTCTCATCGATCCCGATCAAGCATCGGAGAGCTGGCATCCACAGGTTCTTCTATTGAGACATATGATAAGTGGCGCTTATTTAGAATAATAATAATCTCAAATTTGATAAAATCCCCAAAAGGGTGTTGGAAAGGTGAAAGGCATGTAATATACAAGATGTGCATTATATACATTTACGAAAACAGATAAATGAGCACTTTCCGTTATGAAAAATAGCATTTTAACACTTATTTGATGCAATATCCCTTTATTTACCCGAAGAATAAAATAGATGGATTAAGGTCACTGATACGTATGAGATGAATTACAGCTTTCTCATTCAGAAGCTGTAGTGCCTCCTTCTTTTGGTCAGACTACTGGGATGTGTGAAATGAGAGCATAGAGAGAAAATAGTTGATTTGGGAATCTGTGAATTTTAAGGCAAAGGATATATGACGGTTGGACTGTTAGTGAGATCCAAGTGCATGTCATTGACTACTTATCAGTGCATTTGCTGGCTGTATTTCCTTTCCTTTTATTGGCAGTTGTCAACGTTACAGATGCAGGGCTGGTGTCCAAGGAAACCATTACGCCTTTAGAAAATCCTGCGTTGCAACTTTGTATGCGTGTACTTGCGTGTGTGTTTCTTTCGGTGTGTGTGTGTTTGTGTTTCAGTGCATGCGTGCACTTGTATCTTGTAGAAGTTACTTTTATCCAAGCACATGGAAAGAGAAGGAAAAGTGAAATAATAATAATACCAAAGTCATCTACCAAGTTGCACGTTTCAAATTGTAACACCCAAGCCGAACCCATTGGGAATTTAAAGTAGACTTCACACTGAAATAAAACTGATGTAATGATCTAGTTGGAATTCTTTTTCCTTTCTACAAGGACTATGACAGTAGTTATCAAACCCTTGCTAAAATATAAAGAGAAGAAGCTCAGGAGAAAAGCAAGAACACTGTGTAAGTCCCGCATGGCACCGTGTCTGCTATTTTCTCTGATTTAGTCTAATTTCAAAGTAACTGTACAAAGCTTTCAGAGAGACTCTTCCAACTGTATGACAGCCAGAGAGGATATACTATGATCTAGAAGTGCAGTCTGAGGTATCACTAAGCCAGGGGTAAACTATAATAGTAAGTATTCTAATGGTAACTTGAGAGTTATAAAAGCACCCTATGGAAATATCATTCAAATTAGAAATCTTAAATGTAAAAACAGGCAGAAATTGAAGGTAGAAAGGGGTCAAATACATAAAAGGCATTTAGGCATATCGCATTCCATAGATTTTTATGATCTTATCTACGTCAACTGACGTTCACTTCTGTCCGACACATACAACTGTATACATTGACTGTCTGAGGGCAGCCTGAGTACGTGATCTTGGGTGACTGGTGTCTGACTGGTATGGGAGTGGGGGAGGCAGAAACGAGTCATTGAAATAGATATCACTTAAGGAATCCCATTTATTGTTTGCTTTTCCGTCGCATAGACTAATTTCCCTGCTTCCCTGCAGCTATCAAGTCCCCTCAGTCCCTGCGGTAATTGGAAAGCCTTCAGCAAGCCTTGTTTCAATGAAGAGGGAGGGGGGGGGGGGGGGCAGGGCAGGGAAAGATGTGTGCATGAGATAGGAATAGCCATAAAACAGTTGAGAGGGAGACAAACAGAAAAAGGCTTGCTATGTCGATGCTTAAGGCTGTATCAGATTAACAGCATTATTAAATATGAATGATCAGTATGTATGAAATGGGTTTTTGAATGAACGTTCAAATTTGCTTTCTTGAGCAAAACCCTTGACAGCACGTGCAGCGGAATGATGCTGAATGCAACACGCATCGTGAGGTGATGAATGAAAGACTATTAGAATGAGGAGAGAGGATGGAGGAGGAGGAGGAGGAGGAGGAGGAGGAGGAGGAGGAGGGGAGCGATACTGGAGTGAGAGCCTGATAGAAACTAGTAGGGGATTTCCAGGCAAAGGGAAACGGGGAGGAGCGACAAGTAAAACAAATGGGCTGGAGCTTTTTGTCCCCCACCCATCGCACACGCACACGCACGTGCTCCCCCAGCCTGCCTCATGGCGCACGTACGCTTGCAGCCAGACAGGCAGCAGGAGATCAATCGTGCTTTGGGACTAGTGTGTCCTTGTGTGTGTGTGAGAGAGGGTGTTAGCATCATGCTGCTAGAGGCGTATGTCACCCTAGAGGAGGTGCAATGTTAGCAGGAGTGGAGGGGGCTGTCCGTGCGTGTGCGTGTGCCCGTGCGCACCGCGCCTGGGATGCACATCGAGGGCTGGAGGTGCGCGAGCGAGCCGTCAAAGGGTGGAGGAGCCGCGGAGAGCAGCAGCAGCAGCAGCAGCGCTGTCCGAGTGTGTGTGGGGGAGCGAGCGTGTGAGGGGGGAGGAGGAGAGGGGAGGAGAGGAGAGGCAGACGCGGCGGGACTCCCAAGAGAAGGAGTGGGAGTCGGGGAGCAGACCCTGCCTCTCTCTCTCTCTCCCCCCCCCACAGGAGTACCCGGACCCAAGGACAAGGCAGGACCTGCAACCCAGCTTGCAGCAGCTGGACCCGGGGTTGAGGGGGGGGGGGGGGGGGGAGAGGACACACAGGGAGTCTCTCTTCCCTCGCTCCCAACTCGGGATGCGATTGACTGATGGGGGGCTTCCAGACGGATCTGACTGACCCACGGAGAGAAGGAAGCAGTGCAGTCCCTCTTATCTTCAAACATTTGTGCATTCTACCTCGGTTAGGATACGGGGGGGAGAAGAAGGGAGGCTGAGAGGGAGCCAAGAGGGTTTTATCCGTGCTATTGAAGAAGGACGAGAGGAAGGAGGAGGGGGAGGAGGAGGAGAGTGTTTGGAAGGAGTGGACTCTCCTCTTCCCGTCGAACCCTGATTGTTAACTGTTGCCCGTGAGACGCTCGGACATGTCAATGAATCCCCCCCCGGGCAGCATAGCAACCAGGGGGCGTCGTCACCCGGTTGCCGTCCCACGGACCACCATGTCAGTGACCACGGGCTTCGGTTACCAGCTGCCCCGAATCACCACAGTAACGTATGTGTTTGTTTTCAGCCCCGGCTCAGTGCAGAGAGACCCGAGCCCCCCTCACCACACGCCTCCGGCGCTGACGGGCCCCCGCGGGCCCAAACGGAAACTCTACAGCGCCGTCCCCGGGCGTACCTTCATTGTGGTCAAGCCCTACACTCCACAGGGGGAGGGAGAGATCCAACTGAACCGCGGCGAGAGGGTCAAAGGTAGGTTGTCCTGTCCCGTGTTCATGTTTTAACACCTTAAATCCAACGCTGAAACTTCTACTTCCGGACTCCGCAGCTGTTGATATTCTGTATTTCATTCCCACTAGTTATTTTTAGGGTCTCCTGTAGAGTCCGTGGGTACGTGTGGCTCCCGTGACTTTCAGTGCCGGGTTAGTTGCAGAATGAAAAGAGCAGACATTGCTCTGCTCGCTCACGTCGGAGAGATGCGAGCCGCACCATTACTTCACAATGTTTTTTTGGCTGCAAAGCGGCGTCGTAATCATTCAGCGTGGAAGTCATTTCAGTGCTGTGTAAGCTTGGAATTGGGAATTGTCATTTCATCCGTTTGTAAATGTGCTTTCTTCCGCTTTACACAGAGATGCAGTGGCTTTGCTTTCACGTGTTTGTGTGTGTGTGCTTTTGTCTCTCCATCCATGCTTCACTCAAGACTATGACAGTAATGACGTAGAAGGTAAACTCCATAAAATTCTTCTCACACTGTATCCCCCCACTCCCCCTCCCCCTCCCCCGCGTGTGTCAACGCTACACTCGCAGTGTAGTAATTTGTTTCCTGGCCCTGTTTGAATCCACTTGATATTTGTGTGCAGTCTCAGTATGGATCTGTGCTTACTTCAAGGAGAAGGCATGCTAATTCAAACTGGTCCCGTGTGCTTTTTGGTTGTTGGTATGCACACACACACACACACACACACACACGCACACAAACTTTCTCTTTCTTCACCTTGAACATGTAACTGTTCCTCTTATCACCTGTCCACAGACACCCAGCACATTGACCCGCCTCACCCTACATCCTGCCACCTCACACACATGGGTTTGATCGCCATGGATCAAACCCACAGTAGCCTAATGGACACAGTTCCCTCGTGTTCTCAGACAGGCCAGAGAGAGAGAGAGAGAGAGAGAGAGAGCAGTCGCACTTACTGAGACCTCTCATGTTCCTTTCAGATCTACAGAGGCAAAGGAGGTACAGATTAGGGGTCAATTTGGAATTTCAATTTGGACTTTTGCAAATACAGGGTAAATTATTCTGATATATGCCAGTTTATACCCACTCTCAGGAGCGCTTCTCCTGCCTGCACACGTACTGAAGCATCCCGAGCCCTTCCTGCATCAGCTGTGTTTAGCCTCCCAGCTTCTCTGACCTTAAAGACGTGTTCTAATAGCCGTGCCCCTGTGTGCTTTGACGTCCCGTCTTTATAGTATTGGGAAAAACAAGTCCATTTACCCAGGAGTAACTAATACAGGTGATGAACAATTCGGACTCAGAAAATCCAGCTCATGTTTTTGCCAAATGATACGGCATTGTCTGAAACACAAATGTTATCGGAAATGTGATGACTCAACAGCAGCTAGTACGCCTCCGTCTGCTGAATGGATCTGCTGTCACTGTCTTTTCTGTCTGTGCAGCTGAATCCACAACGCTGTCACTAATGCGAAGGCACTGTGTTTTGCTGTTCTTTCATGTTGGCCATGCAGGAAACAAGCTCACAGTCGCATTGGCTGCCAGCCGCATGGCCCAGCCAAGTAAACCATCTGGCTGCGACACGCAACGCTCACCTTCACGACCATTCGCTGTGTTGCATTCACTTCGCTTGTGTAGAAATATTTCCCCGATGTCAACCGATTGTTGGACATCTTCGCAGTTCGGGCTCCATATGTTTTTTTTTTTTTACGGTATCCAAATGATGTCCACAGCATGTAATTCTAGCCGAGCACGAACAGTCTTCCTTTTGCATAGAGAGGCGAGTCACTTCCTCTGGGGATGGATGACCCTTGGTTTGATACATAATGCATTTTATCCAATCTGAATTCATAAATAGATGAGTTGCTAACAGTAATGGGGCCCATTTCTAATGGGCGGCAAGGCAAGTGAAAGAGCGAGCGGATGATTAAAGAACACATTTATTTATCCTCCTCCTCCCGAATTAGGTGACGAGCCAAACAAAAACGTATGAAACGTAAGCACCTGAAAATAAATGTCGTCGTAATTCTTTGTACCCTAAAGCTAACTCTGATTCTGCGTCTGCCTAAAATTATGTTGATAATTCAGTTACTGTTAAAAAATTAGCCTCATATAACCCCCCATAACACAGACAAACACACACATAAATACACACTTATGTTGTAGTCATGTTGTAGTCAACGTTTGGACCCACTTTCTCATTGAATTGAATTTGAAAATGTGTCTAAACGTTTGCCTTGTATATATATATACATATATATGTCAGATGTTGTGTTTTTTCCCTGTACGCGTGTGTGTATCTATTGACGGCAGTGTGCGTGTTTTGTGATGATCCCTTGTGTACACATCCCCCTCTATACTCATTCCCCTGCTCACCCGTGTGTTTGTTTCTGCTCTTCCCCTACATTCACATAATGTGATCTCATCCTGTGGATTGACATCTCCTGAAAGGCCACTTACTATCACCATGGTAACTAACTAGGGAGCCATGCCACTGTAAACTAGTCAAGCTTTCTGCAATGTTGTAAAAAATATACACACACACTTGCTTAAGCATAACACACTAACACAAATACATAGTCAGAGCAACAGATGTGTGTCTCAACATGCTGTTTCCCCCACGGGGGGCATTAACTTCAGGGTGTACTTCTCCTTAAAAAGGTGACACATTTAAGAGCATGCTTTTGTATTGTATTACATCTCACGCGCACACACACACACACACACACACACCGACCACATACACCTTCTACAATCCCCATTATAAATCTTGCGGACAGCCATGAAAATGAAACCAGCGCAAGTAACGTTGAAATTAGACATTCACCAACATGATTAATGGGGTTTAGCTGCACCCGGTGTGTGCAGAATATTAACAGCGCTATGGTCAGTAGAGGATTCCTGGACCAGCTGTATGACGCAAACATACACGCATGTGCTGGGTTTTCATGTATTGTTCCAAGTCTGGCATCACAAAGGCTCCAAAATCAGCTGTTTCTGCTGCTCTAATGATCTCGGCCACCTTCTAGCTCGTTCTATAACGCAGCCATGCTGATAACGTGTCTCAGAAGTGCAAAGCTTTCTTTGGAACAAAAGTCTGGAGATATGTTCTTCTTCACGTGTACTCAATTAACTCATCAATAGCTACACATCAATGCACATCACTGTACGTTGGTGTGCATGTGTGTTTTGAGCAGAGCCAGTCGATAATACAGATATTTGATTTGTCCACAAAAGCCTGCTAATGTTATGACAAAGATGAATATTCATTTGTCTGTTACCAAGCAACAGGTGCTGAGTGCATAACAGCTCTGACATGTAATTTAAAGATAAAGATACATTTAAAATAAAATAATGAAACGAAATTGTCTCTTCAGTGAGTTAAAGAAAATTTTGTTCTAAGAAACCATGTTATCTTTTTATCTGCTACTTGCAAATTAGGTCGGACAACAGCCTGTGTGCCAATTGTTGAATTTAGACTAAATATATTAGCTTCCCACTGTGAGCTTTGGATTACCGGTAATTAGAATTCCTCTCGGTATACTGTGTTTGTATGTGTAGGTATTTCTGTGTATAAGCATCTCTCTATCGTTGTTTTCATCATAAAGTGGGTATGTGAGGCGTTCATGTCTGTAAATGTATTAGTGCATGTCTGCCTGTGTGATTGCCTTTGTGTGTGTTTACGTTTGTGCCGCACAGTTTAAGTAATTTTCTCCCAGAAGTTAAATAAACAGTATCCTTCAAGCATTCAGCAGCCAGCTGTCCTAATATCCGAGGCACAGACACAGAAATGTGTCTTTCTCTGCCCATGTTCTGTCCTTGAGCACATACACAATATATACATTTTGTATGCTGTGCTGAAACACGTTTTGGGTCTTTTGTCATAATTTATTTATTTCAATTTGGAGCAAAAATGTAGAAATTAAATAGACTAAAACCCCACAAAGTGTCACTCGGTTCCTGTGATTACCAATATGTTCTCACTCAAACCGGAGACAGGAAAAATATAAATGTTCTCCATATAATGAAGAGATAACGGGTGAGATAGCGATGTTAAATTATAACTAAAACAGGGATGAATAAAAAAGTGTCATGCTGAAAAAGAATATTTCAAACCCGATAGTCTCTGTTGATGATATGTTCACACTATCCGCAATCCACACGAGGAAACCCAGAGAGGCCACAAAACTCTTTCAAGAAGGAGATTGTGTGTCTTATCGTCCCCAGAAGAAATTAGTATAGACCTGAGGCCAGTCAGCGTAATAACACACTGTGTGTGTGTGTGTGTGTGTGTGTGTGTGTGTGTGTGTGTGTGTGTGTCTGTGAGTAACCAGTAATAAATACCGGAACATGGTCACAAGGAAGATGATGTCACGGCTAACCTTCTAGCTGTCCAATCGGAGTAGCAGTAGAGTGCATAGTCCCGCCCATGCACCGACCTGCTCCCTGCTGAACACACCACCTGTTCTCACACTCCCATCCTCTTAGTTTTCTTTTTGTTTTCCAAAGGTGTCCATACGGTGATTGCTTGCAGGCTCATCCCACACTGAGCCCCTCAAGGAAATGAACGCCCATGCATTGAGATGTAGCCTCACAAGAAACGCTAATTTTATTTATTCATTATTTATTTATGCTAAATGTTAAATTTATATACACGGCATAACCACCAATTGCAAAGTTGATGAGTGTATACAAAAAAACATTAACAGGAAAACTGCTGCAGTAACATAAGCAATTGATTATAAATACATTGAACAGAAACATTGATTTGCTTTTGATTTACAATCGATTACGTCTCGATCGATTGATGAGTCAGACCCGAGCATGGCCGGCCTGCACCAACTGAGTGGCTCCAGATGGTAACAACAGGTATTTTTTGTCATGCACGGTGTCAACCCGCTTATCAGTCACGGGTGTTAACATTTGCATCCAAAGGTCATGTCCTTACCCAGTAAGACACAATCACTTTTTACACCTTTTGAAAAAGCGTGTCTACCTTGCTGAGCTCTCTCTCCAGAATCGAAGAAGATCAGACTTATTCACTCGCTAATTCAACTAACTCCCATGCAGCCACATGCAACTTAAATCAATAATGCATTTTGTCATGTAATAACATGTTGAGTAGGAGGGAGCACATGGTCAGCTCATTACAGCACGTTCATTAATCACATCATAAACACTATCAATTATGTGACAATCTGACTCGGGGGCGGCCAATTAGTTGCGTGATTAACAACTCCACAACCAGCAATATACCACTTCTCTATTAACAATCAACTGGCAATCAATGGCTGATCTACAGCAAATCAATCACTGAAATACTCTGATGAGTTCTTGCTGGTCAGTGTACAAGGTAATACGATTCATGCAACACGGTTGTTTCTATTTCTGTGACATCAGAGTGACATGTGAAAGAAGTTCAGACATGGGATGATCGTAAGCAACTCTGTTCTATTTTGTTTCCTCTCGAGGGTTGATGAAGTAGG